GTGTGGCCGCAGACGTGGCAGGTGGCGGGCGCAAGGAGCCCGCCGGCAGCGCGGAGGGGGTGCCCCCAGCCCACTGCTCATTAAAGGGCTCGGCGAGCTCGCCCTGTTCCGTTACATCCAGGCAGAGGGTGAGAGGCTGGGACTGACACCAGAGGCAGTGAGGGGTAGGGAGGCTGCAGAAGCCCAGGCTGGAGAGTATTAGGAGGGGCTTGGGGTCATCGGGGCCACCAGTCTGATGGTGGCCAGGATCTGTGTACTTGGAGCCAACGGGGCTTGTCCTCTGTTCCCCAGGGATCCCCAAGAGGGGTGAAGAGCCTAGGACTCCCTCAGGGCTTGTCCGGAAGGGGCACTCAGGGGAGATGGGCGGGAGCTGCCTGCTGGTCACAGCAGTGGAGCCCAGGGGACAAAGCCTGGGGCACTGGGGTGGGGCTTCTGGGCCTTGTGTGTCTGGGAGCTGTGGGCCAGACTCAGCCACCCTCAGGAAAGCAGGTGTGAGGGAGGGACAGGTGAGCACCCTTCCGTCTGGGACAACCAGCAGCACTGCCCATGAACAGGTGTGCAGAGGAAGGTGGTCCGTATCAGTCAGGGAAGGCCACGTTACAATGGGTAACAAACAGCCCTGGATCTCAGTAGCAGAAGCGACCAAGGTCTTTTTCTCCCTCATGGTCACTCAGGCCCAGGCTGCAGGGACAAGCTCAAGGGCTCTGCCCAGTCCTTCCCTGTGCCTGGGGAACAGGGAATCTGAAGGAAGTGGGGTGAAGACCATGGGAAGTGGGGTGATGGTGGACAGTAGGGAGTTAGTACAGAGGCACAACCTTGGACGGGCCAGTGGCAGACTCAGTAGGAGGGCAGGACAGATGTGTGAGTGAAGGGGGCCTGATGGTGCCGCTGGAGACCAGGAAGAGGAGGGCAGGTGAGGAGGTGAGAGGGTTGGCCGTCACTGCAGACCACTTCTGGGTGTCCTGACAGCAGAGGGAAGGGGCGGAAGGGCTACCCCGGGCGGGAGTCCAGAGGCTGAGGATGGAGCCCCCCGGGGGTGTCCATCCAGCGGGACTGGCCAGCGCACTGCTTCTCCTGCCACCTGGCCGGTCCGGGGATGACCCCGTCTGCTCCTTTCCCCAAAGCCTGGGCCGCACCAAGGGGGCCGTGCAGGAGGCCTTAGCAGATGACTTCAACACGCCAGGGGCGGTGGACGCCGTCATGGGCCTTGTCCACCATGGGAACAGACAGCTCAAGGCGGCCTCAGAGGTAACTCCCAGGACATGGCGGCAGAGCAGGGTTTGTTGGCCTAGTTTTGAGGACAGAGTGGGCGTCACCTTTCTGGCTCCCTGAAGCGACCTGTGTCCCAGGGTGCTGCCCTCCAGGCTTTCCCTGGGTCCTGGGTCACCCCACCCTGGGGCCACCTCCTGAGCCAGAGGGGTGGCAGTAGATCCAGGTCGGGGGTGGTAGGGAGGCCTGGCACGTGGACACAGGAGCATGGGACACTCCAGTCGCCACGTAAACTTAGTGGAACCTGAACTGGGGAGGAAGCTGTGTTGGGGCCCAACTGCCTGCACCCACTGCCCTGTCCATCCCTGGGCCCTGGTGCCAGGCCGTTGGTGGAGGCTCATGGCCCAGTGACATCTCAGAGGCCCACCTGCTGACACCGCCACCCTGGGGCTTGGTGCCAGAGTGAGTGTGGGAGACATGGGCACTCGGGTGGTAGCCCCCACGTCACTGGTGGGTAAGCCGAGGTGGGGACACAACGGCTCCCGCGGTCGCCTGCCCTGTCATGAGCATCTCCTGTGGGGCTGCATCCTCCCTGCCCGGCGCTGACCTGCCCTTGCCTCGAGCGTCCTCTGCCTCTAAGGAGCCTCTTCGGGGGCCTTGTCCCAGGAACCCGGTGGTCCCAGGAGCCCCGCCGTGTTTGGCGCCGTTGTGTCCTACGTGGAGCAGTTCTTTGAGACAGTCGGCGTTTCCCTGGTGGACCAACAGGTACGCCGTCTCTTCCTGGCTTTACCCACGTGCTGGTGGGACAGCCGCTTCCCCTTGTAAATGTTCCCTTTGATGGGTAATTACAAGGCCAGACTTACATATGTCCTTAAGATTTTTCACGTTCCTTAAAAAGTGGACACACTCAGCTAATATTTATGAACTGGAATTTCGACGTTCTGAATAGAACGTCGTCGTCTCAGCTGCCGTGAGGGTGTCACCAGGGCCCACACACTCACCTCCGTAAAGAGCCTCGGAACACAGGTCAGGCTACAGGGCAGTTTCTCCCGAGCTGCCAGTGAGCGCCCGCCTGACCCCACCGTGTCCCTACACGTGGAGTCAGACCCGCCCAGGCCGTTGTTCTCCTCGGGGCAGAGGCCCCGTCCAGGGCCCACTGTGCGTTTGGTCCCCTCCATCTGGAATGTTCTTCGGCCTTCCATGGCCTTCCCACCCTGACACCTGACACTGGAGCAGGTCCCTCAGGAACACGACAGGTGTGAGGCCTCCCTCCGGGGCAAGTTCCCGTCTGTCCCAGGCTGGGGCGTGCACTGTGACCACGTAGTCGGGGGAGGCGGCCCCAGGAGTTACTCTCCTGCCTCAGACGCCACAGAACCCGCTCCCTGTTGGACTCCCTCCGTTCCTCACGTCCTCATCCATTCAGTGGCTTAATCTGTCACTGCCACCTTTGACTCATGCTGGCAGGGCGCCTTGGCGCTGGCTCCCGTGCCCCACGTGGCCCCACCCGGCCCCACCCCTGTAGCACGGGCTGATCTCCCGCCCTGGAAGGTCCTGGCCGTCTGGTACTTTCTCCGCACTGGGCAGGAGTCAGCCATGGCTCCGAGGAGCTGGGTTTCAGTAGACAGTGCTCAGGGGTGAGGGTCTGGGTGCGGGGTGTGCTCGCCACACCGGCCCTCGGGGGACCCTGTACAGACCAGGCCCACAACCTGCATGAACGGGAACCTGGGGGTCGTCACCCTCCTCCCCTCCCAGATGGAACTCCTCTGAGCGGGAGGCCCCCCACCCCAGGATTTACTCACCCGCTGTTCTGCCCCTGCCACCCCTGCCTGCACTCCCTCACCCCCTCAGCAGGCACCTCCTGCACGGACGCCTCCGTGGCTCTGACACCCCAGGCCAGGGCTCCCCGCCCTCCCCCTAGGGCCCACCTGCTCTGCCTTCCCTAACGGCTTTAGGATTGTTCAGGATGGGGAAAGGAAAGGGCCAAAACCATCACTTTGAAAAAAAAAAGTGTGAACAAGTTGTTAACGGGGGAGTCTGGACTGCAGATGGAGTGAGCCTGCCCCAGGCTCCCTTGCAGCCCCCGCCGGGGTCACCCGCTGCGTGGCCCTGAGTGCAGCCCCGGGCCCGTGCCCGGTGAGGCCCGGCACCCAGCTGCCCCGTGCCGGCAGCGCGTCTCCTGGGACCTTTACTGCTGTGAGTGCCTCTGGCCTTAACACAGACTTGCAGCACCTTTGCGATGATTCCGTTGGGTTTGTAACATTCATCGGTTTCCTGGTGACCGAGGTCCTTTCCTGGGCGGTCCAGGGCCCGTCAGCAGGTCCACGCCAGTCTCAGGGGACAGATCTCTGCGAGTCTGTGTCCACTTCCTCGGGAGACTCGAGTCTGTGCTGCTGCGAGGAGGCGCACCTGCCCCGGGTCAGAAGGCGCTTCCTCTCCCCCAGCTCAGGTGCCCCAGGAGCCTGCTGTGGGCTCAGGTTTCTGTGACAAGAACTGTCTTCTGCCGGGAGAGCAACTGAGGGTCGTGAGGTTTAAGGAGTTTAACCCTAGAGTTGTCCATGTGGGGGAGGATGCCTGGCAACTAGGAATGGCTCTGGTCCCCCCAAGCCC